CTCCAGAAGTTGAGTAGATGTTATTTATTCCATAAAATCTGGATAATCTAGTTCTCTTTACAGTTTTATCATATTGGGAATAGAATAGTTATTAACTGATAGACTTAAAAAAAAAACCAGACCTGAAAATGACCTAAGAGATCTTATTACCAGGGCTGGAAAATGGGCCTGGCAGGCGAATTCACCAGGTAGAGGGCATTTATTTGGACTGAATCTGAATGCTTATCATTAGACTACTACACACATTCCAGTTACCCACTGGGCCTCTATAAATATACATTCATAACCTCTGATCTTTCCCAAGAGTATAAGGTGAATGAATTGAATTCAGAAACTTAAATCTGGAATGGATAGATAAGAGAGAACTCATTAAGTTCATTAGTCCATTAAAAATGAATAAGAAAGCCACAGAAGACCATTCATGGCAGACTGCAAAAAGGGTCCCAATTTTTTACCCTCCCTATATTTCATGCTTTTCCATGTAACATTTTTGCTTTCCCACTCTTGACTCTGGGTTTGGCAGGTGGCTTAGTTTGGCTAATGGGATACTGGCAAATATGACACAGAGGTTTGAATTGGGCTTCTGCATTGCTCTCTCTTTTACTGCTGCTACCACCATGGGAACCTGCCTAGACTAGCCCACTAGAGGGTGAGGGACATGTGGAACAGAACTGCCCAAGTTGGCTGAAATGAAACCAACCTAGATCAGCCAGTAGCCAAACAACCCTAGATATGTGATCAAGACCATCCAAGATCATCAGAGCCCCTAGCCAAGCAATAATCCCTTATCTTATATTTATGAGGGTTAGTGGTTGTTATGCAGCATTATTGTGCACTGGATAACTGATACATCAATTAGAGCTTCCCTTAGAGCCAAGGATCTAAGGAGAGTAAAAGAATAGATTCTTGCTGGTACTAGACTAGCTGGAACTGGTTGTTGCAGGAAAAATTTTGAAAACTTGTAATATCAAATTGGTTTTAAGTCTTGGCGCTGAACACAAATCTTACAACATATCTGTTTCTAATTTATGAGAGTCAAATACATTCTAAATCCAGCCTAAGGATTGATTTAGGGTCATATTTAAGCAATGA